CCAGGTTTTTGCTTTTATTTCAATCAAAATAACAAATTGCAAAAACGGAAAAGCACATATGACAAGTTAGCTATCTTTTCTTACCCTTTTTTTGTATCCTACAGATAAATTTATTCATGTCTTGTGGTAAAGATAGTTATATAAATATACTGTGATGTTTCATGTTCCCATCTAAAGCAATTTAGCTTACATTTACAGGCAGATTAGCATTACACCTCTTGTGTACTCCAAGTAAAGTTGGTTAAAACAGTATAGAACTTGAACTTTTCAAAGCCTTATTTCTTTTATCAACGCTCCTGAATTTATTACTGATTACATTCATTTGCTTTTTGTAGCTGTAAAAAAGTACCTGAGAAATATAGCTTAAGGGAGAAAGGGCCTTTTAGGCTCATGGTCTCAGAGATTACCATCTATGGATTAGATTGTTGGCTCCATTGTCTCTGAGCCTGTGGTAAAACAGAAATAGCGTGAGTGAAGGGCATGTCGGGTGTAAACTGTTCACTTATGGCATCTAGGAATGGGGGGGATTCATGACCCCATCACCCACTCCCTTCAATTAGGGCTCATTTCCTATATTTCCATGAATCATCAGTGAATTAACATGAATGAATGCACTCATGAATTTAGCCCTCATGATCTCATCACTTTTCAAAAAGTTCATCAGCTGTCAACCAAGCCCCCTGCAGAAGGCCTTCAGGGGTTATCTTAGATTTGAACATAACAATAATGAAGTTCACCAATGCCATTCCTGCCCAAATCTGCCAGTTTGTATATAATATGGTTTCGTGGGTATTCAAACATTTTTAATAATGCTTTGTAGCATCTTGACACAAGACCAACTATACAGACCACACCAGAGCACCACAGCCGAGATATCTGTTACACTTGAAATAAACATCAAAAAATGTAAAATAATGGCACTCATTGTTGGTTTTGAAATCACACTTAGTTTTCCTCAAAAATATTTTATCTGTATAAAGTTTAATATTTTTGAATTGCATTGACATAATTTTTTAAATTTTTTAAAGTTTTAATTTCTAACATGGGCAAAATATTGGTGGATGAAACCCACATGAAAAAAAGTGCTTTGGAGAACTCCAAAGGTTTGAAAATTTGTGGTTTGTTTGTTTGTTTGTTTTTAATTTGTGGTTCAAGGGGATGTATAAATCAAAGTTGTTCTCGTCTTTGTCTTTACACAGAATTAAATGATGAATTCATCAGCTTTATCTTGTAGAAACTTGATTTTAGATTTTGTTGGACAGGTCTTCTTCAATTTAACCTAATCTCAGGACCAGCCGGGCATGGTGGCACATGTTTGTAATCCCAGTGCTTGGGAGGCTGAGGCAGGAGGATCACCAAAAGTTAGAGGCCAGCCTAGGCTACATAGTGAGTTCAAGGACAGCCTGAACTGTATAGCCAGACCCTATTTCAGAATAAAAAAAATCCTAAGGCTTGATCTTTATTTTTAAGGGTGGTCCTTCTGGATTTTCACTGGAAGTCTAAACCATTCACTGAGTTCTTCTAACTTAACAGAAGTTGACCTCCAAACTTGGTCTTCCAGAACTGATCAGCTGGTGAGATCTCTGCGAGCTCTTTTTTCAGCCAACTCAACTCTGTTTTGCCCTACTGGTTTCACTCTGCGTGCACAGCTCATGGGTCAATTAAAGATTTGAGAGGAGTTTATATGCAGACACAGGCTCTATCTCCCCTCATAACCCACTTAATTCCCAGCCTTTCACACCCCAACCACTACCTCCATTCTCATTCAGTACTATCTGCCTATCTTCTATATCTTTTGCTTGAGTTCTGTGCCTGGAATACTGAGATAATACAGATTCTTCATATGAAGATGAAAAGGTAACTTAAGTGCAGAATTCACCCACTGTGCTTCCATTCTTTCAGGATCAGAGCTCTGCAAATCTTTGCCTGCTTTTGGTGGCATGCCAGTGAATTCAAACAACTTTTTTCTGTATTTTGTCCAGAACTTTAGTAGACATCAGCGAAAGGTTAGGATGTGAGGCACTCTGCTATTCAAGGGAATGGAATTCCTGTCTCTTCCCACTTTTAAACTAAGATTAGCAAAGCAACATCCTCCTCCTCAGGGAGATAAGAAAGCCAATATTAGGTCCTTGCATGTCTTTCCCACCCTGTGCAGTGTGCTATAAACTATTTCACTACAGCCTGCACAGAGATGCAGACTTATCATCTTACCTAGATGGATGTTTGTTTTTACTGCTCTCAATCAAATCCAGAGCCTCACATGTCAGGCAAGCACTCTACCGCCAAACCACATGGGTGGTTTACATGTTGGGCTAAAGTCCATCGAACATCATTGTCTCTCATTCTACATCATGGCCCTTGGTAGGTGTTCATCTATCCAGTTTGGGCCCACACTTAGATTTTGTGATTGGTTCACGTGCTTACAAATACTTTTTGTATACTTAATATTTTTTATCATATTGCTTCATTGTGGACTTATGGTTCCAGTTGAAATTAACCATTATCAAACATTTGACACTCAATTTGTTGGCACTTGAGCTATTTTAAGAATTCCTTTTGTCTATTTCTTTTTTTTATTCAAAAATTTGTATTGGTACATATTTATAGTACATAATGATTACATCCATCATCGGAAGTTTGTACATGCACATGACATTTCTTAATTTTTTTAATCCTCTCCCCTCTCTTCCCTCCCTGCATCCCTTTGGATATAGATAGGTAGATAGATAGTTGCACATTCTTGATAGAGACTTGGTGCTTGTACACAGCACTTCACAATTTCTCCACTTTTTATTTTTTAAAATCTAATTTCTTTCTCCTCTCCCACCCCTCCCTCTCTTGGTTCCTTTTCCATATGCTAAAAGTCCATCTCATAATTTCCTATTGTCTGTCTTTTATTTTGCACTTCATATATATATCGGTCTTCTCATATAAGATAAACAATGCAGTATTTAAGCTTGAGTTGTCTGATTTACTTCACTTATCATTATGACCTCAAGGTGCACCCATTTTCCTACAAATCACTCATTTATCCTTCTTTGTGGCAGGGTATTGTCAGCCTTTTCTTCAGGTTAACTTATTTATTCTTTCAACTTGTTTTACTCTTACTGAAGTAAAATTTCTTACAATAAAATGCACCTAAAGTGTACAGTTAGATGGATTTGGAAAAAATGTATACAGCCCACATTTCTATAAAGATATAAAATATTTTAACATTCCAGAAAGTTCCTCTTGTGCACTTTTCCAACCAATCCCTCCTACCAGACACATCATTGTACTGATTGCTGTTATGATAAACTTAGTTTTGTCTATTCTCAAATTTCATATAAATAGAATCATGCAATATTTGTTCTTTTGAGTTTGACTCCTTTTCATTCAGGGTAATGATTTTTAACTTCATCTATGTTGCACATATCAGTAGTTCATTTACTTTTATTGCTGGGTACTATTGTCATATCAGTTTAGCCATTCTTTTGGGCTATTTCCAGTGAAAATAAATAAATATATATATATATGTATATATATATATATATGTATATATATATGTATATATAAAACTTTGAATAATATATATATTTCTTTGAATTTGAATTTGAATAAATATCTAGCAGTGGAATTATTGGGGCTTTGGGAGGTTGTATGTTTAACTTTATAACAAACTACCAGTTTTGCAAGTAGATGCTTCACTTTTCACTCCTAGCAGACTATAAAAGCACCAAGTGCTCAACTCCTATCAATACTTAGTATTATCAGTCATTATAATTTTAAGCATTCTAACCATATATTGTGATTTTCATTTTCATTTCTGATAACCCAAGATGTTGAGTACTTTTTCATGGGCTTTAGGCCATTTATATATCTTCTTTCTAAACTGTCTGATTAGGTCTTTTTTGTCCTTTTTTTTCTATATTTTTTTTATTATTGGCAGAGGTCTTTAACAAAAAAAAATGAAATTATCATGTCAAAGAGCTAGCTGCACTCCCATGTTTATTGCAGCATTATTCACAACAGCCAAGGTATACAATCCACTAAGTGTCTCTGTTAGTCAGATTCCCCACCGCAAGTTGGAAGAAAATGCCTGCAGTACACAACTTAAAGGAGGAATGGTTTATCTGGCTCATGATTTCAGAGATTTCAGTCCACCTTTTGCTGGTTCCAAGACAAGAACACCTGTAGAAGGGCATGGTGGAGCAGAACTGGGTGGGAAGCAGAACACAGGAGAAGAGTGCCAGCAAGAGCTATACCCTCCAAAGGCACACTACCAGTGACCCAAATCCAACAGGGCCCCACTTCCTAACAGCACATCCAACTATGAACTCATGAATGGATATAAGTCCATGTTGAGTATAGAGGCCCCTTGGCCTCTCCAGAAGTCTACCAGTCCAATCAAGTTGACAATTAAGATTAACCAGCATAATGTCCATCAACAAATGAATATCTTTATTTTCTAAAATATTACCAGGCACCTAGGAAAACATTCTTGCCTTATTTCAGTAGCAAGATAACTAAATTCCCTGAACACATAGATGTCGCGAACCGGCGACGCAGAGCACTGTCCAGCAGTGCCTCAAACCTGAAAGAGCAGCGGGGCGGAGATGGGGCAGAGAGAAAGGAAGGACGCCAAGACAAGAGTCTGATCAAGGCGACGTTTATTGCAGGCAGGCATCAGCCTTTTAAAGGAAAAGACCGAACTATTATGGGCTAGGATTACCATAGTAACCTCAACACCTGCTCCATGGGAACGAGGATTCACACGGGCAAGAGAAAGCAGGCTCAAGAAAAACAAATTAACAACACTTACAACTAATATTCATGATTCCCACAATAGGTGGAGGAACTTAACAAAATGGAGTTACAACACCTGACTCCTATAGATAACATCAGATCTTTAACAGGAAGCACCTGACTCCTACAGATCTTTGGCTGTCCGAGTTTCTCCCGTGCAGGGGCAAAACAAGTTTAACACGTGCAGTCCTTAAAAAGGAACAAATGTTGTCTTTCAAAAAGCCAGTGGGCCATGGCTGGCTTCCCACACATAGAACCATCTATTGTCTAAGAAATCCGGTCTGCTTCTTATGGAGCACATAATCATTCTTATTTAACCTGTGCTAGACCCCAAGGCAGGAAGAACCAGGCCCACCCTTCTCTATGTGGTTAGTTCCAGCCATGGTTGTCGCGAGCCATGACGTCAGGGACCTGCCAGCAAGCCCCCAAACCTGAGAGCACACGGTCAGAAAACAGGCACACAATTTACGAGCAGAGGTGTGGGCAGCACCAAAGCTGAAAGCTTTATTGAGACAGCCTACTATATATTTCTTAGCAGAATAAACAACAGAAGTGGAGCAATTCTTTACCATATATGGACATACAGCAGAATATTAGCTCATGTGATTTACCAGAAACAGACTTCTGGAAGAGAAACGAAACTTCACAAGGTCAAAGCACAAACATCTTCACAAGGTCAGATCACAGCAACATGGCTGCGCCTAGGCAATTAGCTGACTCATCATGGCTTCCCATATTTCCCCCATTTGTCTTAGTAAATGATAGAGCATCAGGGGTACCAGCAAAGTGGTTCCAGGTTCAACTCTAACTGTGTCCCATGTCCAGGCAGGCTCAACGTAATAATTCATCATAATTCCCTAATTCCCCATAGCTCTGTGATGGCATGAAGAACGCTAGTTGGTCATCATACATCAGCCAAAGAACCTCTGTCTTAGGTGGCAGAAGTCTTCTATCTCCTTACCCATCATCAGTCGCAGGGCTTATGTCCCAATACAACCTGTCTTAGGTTGGTAGACAGAAGCGTCCGTCCTTACCCATCACTGAGTATCCCAAGGCGGGGAATTTAGGCACGTCGAGCCTGAGCCAAATAAATGGCCACACGTGTTGTATCATCATCCAAAGAAGCCTGTACAGCCATAGCCAAACGCTCATATTTAAACTGGGAACACATCCAATATCGGTACATGCAGTAACCCAAAATACATAACCCAATCATAACAGCAATAGCAATGAGCCATATGACAATCCAAGAAGGTGAAAACATCTTTTTCAAATTTTCCCAAATTTCTGTAAGAAAATCGAAATCAAGCCGAATAGGATTAGCATGAACACCAGATAAGACCTCAATGTCCAAAGACAACCGATTAGTTGCATTCAGAAATGTCCGATTCCAAGACCCTCGCAATAATGACGAGAGCCGTCTAACTTCCTCAGAATGGTTTTTGACAGGAAAGGGAGTAAGGCAGAGTTGTTGAAATCTAGGATCACAGTCCAAACGGGTGTGCAACCATAATCCTTCAACTTCCTCATGTAATAAGTCCATTTGTTGCTGAAGTATGGCCAGACCAGTTCCAATGTGAGGGTTAATGCATTGTTGGGTTCGCAGAGCCGTAGTTGTAGTGTTCTGAAGATCATTGATGGTGGCTGCATTCTGTAAAGTTCCTGTTAATGCCACTGCAGAGGTGATGGCAGACACCAAGGCTATGATGCCAGCGATGATGTCCACCACCACGGCTCCTGCCACTCTTTTTCTGCGAGAAGGGGGAGAGATCTGTGCCCAAACAACAGCAGAGAAATGGTTAGAAATATTCAAAGGCATCCATACCTGAACGGGAATATGTAGGACTGCCATAGATGTCAGGTTATCCTTAGTTGGAAACCAGCATTGACCAAGAAAACAGTATTCTTGAGAGCAATTGGGTAACCATGAATTCTTAGTCCATAACAGCAATATGAAGGGTGCTCTAACACATATTCCGGAAGCTGAAAAGGCAACGGATTTCAAATATTCGGGAACAACAGGATTGGAATTTACAGGACAATTATCATTATTGGACCCAGATCCTTCTAAACCGGAAAGGTCAATAGAATACCCGGTAGAACAATTATACCAAGTCATATTGGAGGGAAAAAGAAAGTAAAAGGGTCTAAATGAGGTACAAGCATATGGGCCACAAAGGTGGCTCATGCCAAAAACATTTTCACCTTTAGTTGGCTCGGGAAAACCGTAAATTCCAAAATTCTTTGTGAAATTGTAGGAATAAGCAACTTGGGGATAACATTGTTCCCATGGTAGGAGTGTCTGTTGGTCTCGATCTTCATAACGACATTCCACTCCCAAGGGACGAGAACCTGGGTATGGCAGGGGGTGAAAATTACTATCGAATGTTGCATCAAAGCGAGGACCAGAAATATTCCAGGTTGTCTGATACCAATGAAATCGCAACTGATTAAGGTTTTTGGCAAAAAGGTGTGAAAAATGAGAACGAGAACGAACTGAGTGATTCTCGGTTAAAGGTAGACAAGTAGTGTTGCTCACATCATTGTTGAAGGTAAAGCAAATGGTATCTAAAGGAAGATCAAAGGAAGCATTAATGGGAGCAGAAACTTCATAATGTTGCCAAGGAAGGCCTAGGCTGCTATTGGTAGTGAAAAACTGTGGAAACAGGGGGGCTTCCTGGCTTACTCCTTGTGGTCGAGGAAAAAAGGGAACGGAGGCCCAAAAGACCTCAGCTGACAGTAGGGGGGCGAATGCCCCAAGGAGAAGAATAACAATACTCATTATTTCAAGAGAGCAAGCAGGGAAGCAAAAAAAGGAAATCTATGCTTAAGAAGAAGCTAGCACTTACCACCAAAATAAAAGAAGACCCAAGATCCTTTCCAAACAACAAAACCAACACATAGACAAATAAAATTTCCAAACAACAGATTAACCCTATCCCCAGGCTTTGAAGAGACAGCACAAACAAGCCTGTACACAGCATCACTTATTCCATATAATCTTCAACTTCAAGGGATCTTGCGGTGTGAGTGAAACTCGCCAGCGTCCTTCAGAAGCTCCTCGGGGAGATGCAGGTTGAGTGACTCTCTCCGGTACCCACACAGGTCGTTGGTGCTCCTGTGAAAACACACATAAATACCCTCTTCCCCACCCCAGAACAGGGTCGGGATCTTTCCAATCTCCAGTATTTAAGTCCTTCCACATAACGTGTGGTTTAGTGGTCTTTTGGGCCCCCCAATGGAGCTCTGCTCGGGTATGTCCTTCTTCATTGACAGTTAGGAAATTAAGCACAAAGAGTGTGTGTTGTAACCGAGTCTTGATGCCATAAGAACCTGAGATAGGATTAGCCTCTAATTTTCTGAGATGGGTTTTAATAGTAGAATGGGCCCTTTCTACTATAGCTTGGCCCTGTGGATTATAGGGAATACCTGTTGAATGGGCAATGCCTAATGAGGTGACAAAAGACTTGAATGACCTGCTCGTATACACAGGCCCATTATCGGTCTTGATCGCTCGTGGTTGACCCATATAGGCCATGGCATGTAGCATATGGTGAATAACATCCTTGGTGGCTTCTCCAGTACTATAAATTGCTGCGATCATCCCCGAAAAGGTGTCCATAGAGACATGCAAATATTTATTTCTTCTTAAGGCATTGCAATGAGTGACATCCATTTGCCATAACTCATTTGGTGCTAGTCCCCCTGGATTGACTCCTAAGGTGGGGACAGGAATTTGTGTCACGCACGCAGGGCAATTCTTGACTATTTGTCTAGCCTGTTCCCAAGTGATATGGAACATTTTTCAGAGGACATGAGCATTGACATGATGACAGCCATGGAAGGTTTGCGCCCGTTTTATGGAGTGCTCAAGGCTGACAGGAAAACAGCAGGTTAAAAGATCTGCTGTAGCATGCCTTCACTCAGGCCACCGGGCATGCCTGAATGGGCTCTAACATGATGTATGGAGAATGGTTCTGCTCTGGTTCGAATGGCATTTTGAATTGCTTCAAACAGGTTGAGGAGGTCCCCTTTCGCTTTTATGTGCCCTGTCGTTTCCAATCTGGGAACAGCATTAACAACATAATGACTATCAGAAAAAACATTTATTGGTTCCCTATAGGTGACCAGAGCCAACAAGACTGCTGTAAGCTCTACTAATTGAGCAGATTTATACGGCGTAGCTATAGTTTTCTCTCCCTTAAGGTCCACCATAGAGGCAAGGCCAGAACTGGACCCATCTGTGAAAACTTGTCCCCTGGGGAATTAATTTGAAGTGGGTCTTAACGGGGAAAATAAACCCGTGCGTGGCTGCGAATTGAATTAGCCTATCCTTAGGTGGGTGATTATCAATAGACCCCTGATAACTTAAGAAGGTTAATAACCATGTAGTATCTAATTGCTCTAAAAGATTTCTTTGATGGTGGTCATAAGGCACTATAATTCTGTCAGGTTCTTTGCCAAAAATAGCTACCGAAGTTTTTCTACCTATTTGCACTAATTGTGCCACAGATTCATAATAAGGCTTAATCACCTTAGAATGCGAGTGTGGTAGGTGCAGCCAAAAAAAGGGTTTAGTTTGATATAGCACTCCGGTTGGCCAACACGAAGAGGCACAGATAACTAATAGCAAGGGCAAAACCGGTTGAAAATAGGAAATGCATTGTTGGGACATAGCTGTCTCTACTTCTCTTAAAGCATTGATGGCTTCTTTACTGAGCTGTCTGGGAGAGGATGGGTCAGAATCCCCTTCCAACAAAGAGAAGAGGGGGCTTAATTGTTGCGTGGTCAGCTTTAAATAGGGACGCAACCAATTTATGTCTCCTAACAATCGCTGAAAATCTTGTAATGTTGTCAGCCTTATTACATCAATTTTTATCTGCTTAGTCATAACTGAATAGTGCCCTAGAGCGAAGCCCAAATATATTATAGGTCTAGTCGATTGAACTTTTTCTGGTGCTATTTGCAAGCCATGCCTTGCAAATGCTGCACTTAATTGCTGATAGGCTTGCAAGACCAGTGCATTATTAGCTCCGGCTATCAGAACATCATCCATATAATGATACACAAGAATAGAAGTAGGGAGAGTAGCCCCTTCAATTATCTTAAAGACAAAATATTGGCACAATGTAGGGCTATTAGCCATACCTTGAGGCAAAACTTTCCATTGATATCGCTTAGAGGGGATAGCATGATTTATGGCCGGAACAATAAAGGCAAATTTTTCCCGATCATTAGGATGTAGTGGGATACTAAAAAAGCAATCTTTCAAATCTAAAACAACAATATAATAATCTTGAGGAATAGCTACTGGAGAAGGGAGACCTGGTTGCAATGTCCCCATGATTGACATCCGGGCATTGACGGCTCGGAGATCTTGTAGAAGTCTCCATTTACCAGACTTCTTTATCACAAAAATAGGGGTATTCCATGGGGAGAAAGATTCTTCTATATGCCCCGCCATAAGCTGTTCCTGCACTAACAGAATGGCAGCCTTGAGCTTTTCTCGAGATAAGGGCCATTGCTCTACCCATACCAGTGGGCCTTCAGTCCACTGAATGGCAGGAATATGGGGTGCAGTCGAGTCAATGGCCCCTAGAAAGGGTGTCCCAAGCCTACACGAGGGGGACGAGGGACAGGTTCGACCACAGGTTGTAATCTAGATTTTTTACCTAATCCTTGTCCAGTAAAACCTTGTTTGAGCATTATGTTGGAAACTACTTCATTAGGACTACAAATAAACGCTCCGAGCCCTTCAAGGATGTCCCTTCCCCACAAATTTACTGGTAATTCTGCAACAATATAGGGACAGAAGGTTCCGGAGAATCCCTCATTTTCCCATTTGAGCTCTTTTGCGCTTCGGAGGGGAGAGTTGGTCGTCCCTAGACCCTGCAGGGTGATCACAGTATTGTCAGTGGGCCATTTTTTCGGCCAATGCTGGGCCGCTATAACAGACACATCAGCGCCAGTGTCAAGTAAGCCCCTGAACGTTTTTCCCTCAATTTTTAAATGCATTTCAGGTTTTTTAGCTGTAATTTGTTTTAGCCAATAAACATCAGAGGAGCCACACCCTTCAGTGCCCCGAAATGGCTTGACTGCAGGGTTAGTAACTTTCAGCCGGAGGAGCAAAAGTTGAGCGATGCGTTCTCCCGCAGGAATGGCTACAACCCCTGATGTGGCAGTGGCCATAATGTGAATCTCCCCAGTGAAATCATTATCCACTATTCCAGGATGCACTTGTAATCCCTTTAAGGTCCAGCCACTTCTACCCAAGATTAATCCTATGGTTCTGGGGGGAGGGGGTCCATGGACTCCCGTACTGAGTCGCTGTGGTCCCATGGCAGGCGTTAGGACCACATAACTCTGTACTGCTAAATCTAGTCCTCCGCTTCCTCTGGTGGCTCTCCAGAGACTTGCAATGTCTCTCCGAGAGTTTGGGCTGTGACCAGCTGAGGAACAAACTGCTGGAGTGGATAGAGTTTCCTCGTATTTGTTCGCTGAGGGCCCCGAGGAACTGGGCCCGTAGACATGTTTTTTGAACCTGAACTGGGTCCTAGGAAATTTCCATCTTTATCATAAAGAGAATGGCACTCCTGGGAGTCATGTGGGCCCTTGCAGCAGCGAGTACATAGCTAGGAGTTTCCCGATGCTGCCCGAGGGGGGGGGGCGCGGAGAGGACAAACAGAGGCGTTCCCCGAGGCCGCCCGAGGGGGGGGGGCGCGGCAGTTAGAAGCGGACACTGTCTCTGTATGTGTCCTTCCTGTCGGCAGTTGTAACAGATAGTGCCCTTTGCCTTGGCCCCCACAGTATGCCCTTTATTTTTCCCTTTTCTATAGCCCTGTTGCATTCCCTGAATATAGCTGGCAAAATTCCCTCCGGATCGGACTGCTTCCCGGGCGCTGGCCTGAGCCCAAGCGACTATAACATTGTTTCCCACATCTGCACACAGGCGAATGTAACCATTTAAATCTGTTTTTGCCTTCCAAGGTCTCAGCACAGGCTTACACCATTTGTTAGCATTCTCATAGGCCAATTGTGTGACAAAGGGCAAGCCTGTCTGGGCATCAGGAAAAATCCTACTAGCTCCGTCCAGTAGGCGATGCACAAACTCTGAATAAGGTTCATCAGGTCCCTGCCGGATATTGCTCAAGCTATTACTTAAGTCTCCACTACTGGGTAACTGTCTCCAGGCCTGACGAGCACAATTGGCCACTTGGTCATACACAGCGGGCACATACTGGGCTTGTGCCTGGAGGTTGTCATATAGACCCTCCCCTGACAACATGTCATAAGTAGCAATGGCCATGCCCGCTTGACGGTTACGGTGAGCCATCTCTTTGCATTTTTCAGTATAAGTCCACCATAGCAAGTAATCTCCTCCCGATAAGGCTGCCTTGCATATGGCCTTCCAATCCCCCAGGGCCAGCCATTGTCCAGAAAGAGATTCAAAAATCACCGTAGTAAATGGCGCGTTGGTTCCATACTGATTTACTGCTAGTTTCAATTCCTTTATCAATTTAAACTCCAGAGGGCGATGCTCTTGTTGAGGCCCCTGAGGTCCCTGAACTTCAATTATAGGAAAGAGCTCTTTAGGGACATCTTCCCCCGCCTCCAGAGCCCTACGGAGGCACCTCTGCAGAGGAGTGCAGGACTCCCCTGCAACAGAGAGAGGGGCTATTCTTCCTTCAACTAGAGTTGCTAAAGCCTTTCTCTCTAAAGTTCTATCGGAGGGGTTGGCCCGCATAAATCACTAGGTGTCTCCTTCTGCGTGGGCCAAGGCGACCCCCTCTCAGGGTTGGATGGCCATTCTTCCATACGCGGAGCGCTGGGAGATATGGGGGGAGATCTCTTTCTGAGAGAGAGGACTGAGGATCTGGAAGAGCAGGATACAGAGACCATCCGGGGGGCTTAGAAAGTACCTCTGGATCGCATAAAGAAAGGGGTTTCAATTTTTCCTCTTTATCTCCCGCCTCTGAGGGCGTTTGAGAGGTTTGGCTGCGTTTCTCCTCCTCCCTCAGAGTTTCTTCCACTTCGTTAATGGCTTGCATTACTTGTGCTTTGGGCCCGTGACCCAGGGCCGCAGAAATCATGGCCCAGAAAGAAAAAGTGTTGTCAGGGTAAAGGTCAGGGCTACTCAGGAGTGCTTGATTAATTTGTCTTCCAACCCTCTCCCAGACTCCAATATCAATTACTTCCTCATTAGAAAGCCAAGGACAGATACTATCTAAAGTTCTCACAAAAATCCGAATCTGTGCTTTCTTGACTTTCACGCCCTGTGCATTCAGGACGTTCTGAATACTTTTACTGATCTTATCCTGGGAGATGGCTTGGCCCATATTCTTTGCCTATTGGGATCGGCTATTTCCACTTAGTCCTCTTTTGACTACCCCGTGAACTTACTGTGTGGATCAGGCGCAGCAGCCGTCCCTCCGGAGCACCATCCCTTTTGACCTGGGTCCGGGATTACTTGACCGTGGCGTCTCCTTCAGGTCCCTGTTCGGGCGCCACTTGTCGCGAGCCGCGACGTCGGGGACTTGCCAGCAAGCCCCCAAACCTGAGAGCACACGGTCAGAAAACAGGCACACAATTTACGAGCAGAGGTGTGGGTAGCACCAAAGCTGAAAGCTTTATTGGACAGCCTACTATATATTTCTTAGCAGAATAAACAACAGAAATGAAGCAATTCTTTACCATATATGGACATACAGCAGAATATTAGCTCATGTGATTTACCAGAAACAGACTTCTGGAAGAGAAACGAAACTTCACAAGGTCAAAGCACAAACATCTTCACAAGGTCAGATCACAGCAACATGGCTGCGCCTAGGCAATTAGCTGACTTATCATGGCTTCCCATAATGGTAGAGCGCTAAACTTGGCTCTTCCTACTTTGAGGTCTAAGACAGATTACACAGGAATCATCATGAAGGTCAATTCTGGCAGCAAAGAAATTGCACTCTGAAATATCAAGGCCTATTAAATTCCTCCATGCTTCTTGTGCCTATAATCCTCCAGTTATAAGCATAAAATATTGAGCAATCCTCTCACTACTCTTCTGTTGTTCTCTCATTCTGATATATTTCTTTTGAGTATTCTCCAGCTGAACTCTCTTTGACTATTCTCCAGCTGAATTCTCTGAGTATTCTACAGCTGAACTCTAAAATTTTCTGTTATCTGGACTGCTGCCACACATAGATCTTTTACAGCAAATTAAACCTAAGTCTTCAATATCTTTTCAAAACAGTCTGAGTAAATCCTGATTATTCTCTGCATCATTTCATAAGAAATGTTCTCTAGTCCATACTCTAATATCTGCTGGTTGAGAAGAAATGGGAATATCCTCCCAATTCCTCACTGGCACTTTTATTTGAACATTGTTTTCTAGTTTATGTAAAAGACACTCTGGGAGTCCTGCTACCTCCCATAGCACTCTCCAACCACCCTTTATGGTCACCTATCTATACTTAGTTCTCTCTTCCACTCTGAAACATACCATTGAACTTTGATTTTCAATTATTTCCTCTGCCTTAATTCTTGTCAGTGTCTGTCGCGAGCTGCAACGTCAGAATCCTGCCAGCAGGTCCCAAACCCGAGGGAAGAACAACAGGAGGGCAGTTTCACGAACTTAGTCCCAGGCTCATGCTCTCTTAGTAGCAAGGCAAGGCCCTGTTTATTCTTCAGGGTGGGGTATATATAGGCTAAAACCGAAACCAAAAGTGTAAACATTTATACTCTTCAGCTGCATGGGAGCGAGAGCTGCACGGGAGTGAGAGTACCGCCCACACATCCCAGAGGGAAAAAATAACAACCATTATGGGTTACATCTGCTACCAGCTGAACTCGCCCATTGCTATGGCCGACAGCACGTCCGTGCCGGCGAGGTGACTCAAAGTTCAATCATGGCTAGGCCTATGTCAAGGCTCACCGTGATGGCTCACCATAAGTATCCTGGGAAGTTTTACCCATGTAAACAACCCACGGGCTGGGGATTGAGCTCAGGGGTTCTGCTGCCTGCCTTGCAAGCACAATGGACCAGAGTTCGATCCCCAGTACCAAAAAAAAAAAAAAAAAAAAAAAAGACCTCCCCCCAGGAAAAAAATCCTCTCAGTGTGCTTTGAATGACCTCACCATTTTTCCTCTTCTTCCCCCACTCCAATTATCTAAGCTCAAACCCAAGAGTTGAGGGCTTGTAGAAGTCAAGGCTGAAATTCTGAAAATGTCCTAGACTCCTCCACCTCCTGGTATATCCTGCATTAGCTTTCTGATGAAAGCCAAGAGACTTCTTTTGGATTAACTACCCACAGACAATAACTATATTTGGAATATTTAACAAAAGAAAATAACCCAAAATATTGGAGACCAACAAAAACATAAGCAGATCCTGGAAAACAACCAGCACTTGGCAGAAGCCAACTACATTTGGTGCATTAGCAATTTTGGTGGGAGTTGTCAAAGAAAAGGTTGCAATATGCACCACCCTGAGGTTGAAGGGAAGGAGAGGATTAGATATAAAACCTACAGTCTTGTTACTGTGAAGAACTGGAGAAGATAGTAAGTACCATAGCAACTGAAAAGTGAGGAGGGAAATCTCAAGAGGTAGCCAAATAGGAGGACGTGTATAGAAGCTACCTAAACCTTTTACTGATCACTAAATCATTTGTGCACAGGCTGAGAATGGGGGAAGATTCCAGCAGTCCAGCTAAGTTTCAAAGAGCTAAACAGATTTCAGCTGCATCTACCAAAGTGGAGAGATTTCCATTTGAGTTCAGCACATCTAATTGCCTACCCCTTTCCTACAGACACACACACACACACACACACACACACACACACACACACGTTCTTACACATACATGATCTTCTATATCAAAACAGTTGAGCAAACAGAATTAGGAAGTATTTTTTATATAGGATCTAGACATACACACAAAAGTCCTGAGATTTTTCCAGTGTGACACTCGTTGTCTAAAGATAGCTTATTCCTCCTACATCTACAGAAATACCCCCACCCCATTTAGGGTGTAGGATATTTATTTTTGAACAATCATAGCATGTGTATTTATTTTCAAATAATCTGTGTATCTTATTGATCAAAATGCCTGTAATATGGAAAGTTCACCAAGAAGACTGCTTTGAAGAAATCAGAGAAGATCTTTAAATGTCAGCTCATCATCAAGGTGTGGACTTTTCAGGCTATAGGACAAAGGGCAAAGGCCAGCTTGTCAAACTAGTCACTGTTCTACATTCCTCTCCCAAAAATGACATTGACCTTTATCTGATACATCTGAAGAAGACAGAAGTCAATGAATAGCTTCTAATATGGTTGGTGAACAAAGTATTTACAGAGTATAAATCTATTCATAGTTTGGCAGCACTACCAAATATTCAAAAGAATAATGCCAATTTTGCTTCTTGTTTTATACCACTGTATGTTGGAAGTTGGACTTTCCACCATTAATGCAGTTATTTTGTCTGTTTAGGATAAATTATGAGGTATACTGATATTTTGAAAATGGAGGGAAAGGTTTGCCTTGGTAAGTTGAAAAGTCCAGCTTCTGGCTAAAAAAACTGTGTGGAGAAGATCACAAGTGTCCTGTGCAACTTAGCATGATATACATAGTCTATATCCAAATACTTTGCCATTTTATATAAGGAAGTTTATTATCCACAGATTTTGGTCTCAAAGTTATTTTGGAGGGGGTGGAAGGCGTCATCAACATTTACCCCCAAAACAATAATGTATGATTTTTCAGGCTCAACAATTGGCAATTACAAAGGCAGGCCTCACAGGGAAACCTGCCCTCCCCACAGGAAGACTTTGTATCCAGCCAGTGCACTGAAGTCTTGGCGGGGTGGTCGGGGAGAGTTGTAGTCAAACCTCAGGCCTCCTGGCCAGTCATGCTTTTGTTTGTGTGTACTGGGGATCAAACTTGGGCTCTTGCACTTGTGAGGCAGGCAGCAGAACCACTGAGCCAAATCTCTACCCCTGTGCATGTGGTATTAAGAAATGAACCCAGGGTCTTTAAGCGACATCCCAAGACCTTTTTTTTTTTTTTTTTTTACTTTTTATTTTGAGACATGGTCTTGCTAATTTGCTAAATTTTCCAGGTTGAGCTCCTGCCCGTCTCCCAGATTGCTGTAATTACTGGTTTGTGCCACTGTACTCAGTTCATGCTGTTTCATATAGTTTCCATGAATGATTAGTCCTAGAATCTCTGAGGATATCAAAATCTGTATATAATCATCTCTGTTATATAAAATGGTAAAATATTTATATATAAACTATATATCCATTACAAATATATAAGCTCTATATGTATACCTTACAATATATCTTAAATCATCTTTAGGTTACTTATAATACTTAACACAACATAAATGCTCTGTAAATAGCTGCTATACTGTACACTTTGGAGAACAAGAAGAAAAATGTCTCTAAATGTTCGGTACAGATGTCATCTTTCTTCTTAATATTTTAAACTAGAAGTTGGTTGAACCACAGATGTGGAACTGTGAGTAAGGAGGGTTGCCTGTATTTGCATTCCTTGCTCCAATCTCTTCATGTCTAGACCTCTTTGTGTGAAGTCTTGGCTGAAACTCTTCTTTACACACCTCGGCTGAGATCTCCTTGTAGGGCTTGGGGAAAAGGGTGAAATTTTATGACACTTTTTCCAAACCTGACTCTTCAGTACTTTTTCACTCTTTGTCCTCTGCCTAACTCCAGGGTCTATAAGACTGCCAGATCCTTTAATTTGTGGCTCTCTCAGAATTGTAATGACTTCACACCTGCAGCATTCCACCTGGCTCCCAGCCAGTGTACTATTCCATGGGGAAAGGGAAACAGAGGGAGTTGGTGCTTTCTATAGTTTTGGTCTCTTGCTTAAACCATTTCTGTGATTTAGGCTTCATGCTTTCATTTTTGGCTTGTTTGATTGGCTATTCTGCCACCTGAGAGCATAGCTCTCTGCAAGCTCAAATGGGCTCTTGACAAGACTACATTTTCCCATTCCTAAAATATCTAAAACTATTGACTACATTTAGCAAGTATGGCTAGTCCTCCATAAACAAAATAAGTTTCAACAAATTTGCTCCAAAATATTTTATTAATAAAAGTTTTATGTAAAAAACACAATAGAGGAAAGCAATAACATGTTGAAAGCATGTATACGGTTAGAGTTGCTAATTTTCCTACAAAATTGACCAGCCATGATGGAGTTAGGAAGATTAAAGAGTAAATATGTTAGCATAATTTTTGAAATATTTCAAAGTAAAAAATAGCATTGTATCAATTTTTAAGGCCAAAGAAAGCTCAAAATAAAATAGACTTTAAAAATTACAAATAAAAATCTGTACATCAAAGACTTTTAAGGCCTTCCCATGTGTGTGGCACCATGTAGAAAGAGGAGAGGTATTGCTGAGAAAGGAACATCACATCAGGTAGTACAGCTCTGGCCCATTTCAGCTTGCAGGACCATCTCTTCTTTTCTCAAGGGGAAAGTGTCAATCAGATTGAAGAGGGCCACAGGTGTCACCAGGGAAACAAAGCGCTCCTTGTCCATGCCATGCTTATCCACCAGCACCATACTGAAGGAGTAGAGTGGGATTCGTAGCAATAGCCTGGAACAAAGGAAAAACAAGGCAATATCAAACAACAACTCACAGGGTTCTGGTGGGCCAATCAGAGTCCAATAGTGACACTGTGTCCAGAAAAAAAGTTTGCTATCATGAAGCACTAGATCATTCTTTAGAGCCTTGCTACTCAAAGTGTGATCCTTAGACCAACACCATCACGTGGAAATTTGTTCCAGAAGGCTTTCACATCTTACCCCCAAACTAAGATTAATATTTGCATTATTAAATAAGATATCCAGATGGCCAGTATACACACTGAAGTTTGAGAAGCTGTGCTTCCAATTATAGCCAGGATTTCAGGCCTGCAATTGTGCTGCACACCAATAATTGGTACAAGGCATGTGCAGCAAGGCTAATAGAATTAGGGGAACATTAAATCTGGAATCATTCCCAGTTTACAGACTACTTTTGTATAATCACATACATACTAGGACTATATGTATCAGTGGTTATCAATAGTGGTGATTTTCCAAGAAAATGTTTCCCAAGAAAAATTTGACCATGTCTGAAAATATTTTTGGTCATCACAATGGGGACTAGAGATGCTACTGGTAGCTAGAGGGTAGATGTCAGGAATGCTAATGAGCATTTTGCAATGTGCAGGATGATTTCTCCACCAAACAAATACAGTCCAAATATCAAAAGGGCCAAGGCTGAGGAACCCTGGGACAGGTATAGCTGATTGAAATAACTTTTTGAATATTATAGTTTAGGCCTATTCAGGGCTACATGGTTAAAAGTGTTTTAGCTTGATCAATACCTCAGGTATTCTGACTTGGTTAATTATAATTTGTACCCCTAAATAATTCCAAAAAATAAATTGGCATGGTTTCAGGTATCTGGATTACTTTGTAATCTACTACACCAGAATTTAATCAATGCTGATGTTTTACATCAATTATCAATTCCAACATGTTTAGATGAGAAAAGTCAGCAAAAGTAACTGAGCCCAGTTAAGTAATGAGCCCACTTGGCCTCTTCTCTAGGACTTCTTTTGCAGTTGAGATATCTTGAGTTTGTGTATATAGTAGAATATAAACTTCCAAAGTGAAATATTTTTTCTCATACAAATGGATCAAAGTTTTTTTTAAAGATCATTACATAAAACACAAATTGATTGTACTTTTTTCTGCCTTTTAAGAATGAGGTTTAGAGAAGGAAGGAATAATTTATATTTTATCCTAGTAGAAAGCTAAATTGCTAATCCATTTCTAATGATCAGCAAGCAGGCAACAGCCTCAGAGATGCATCCCACTGAGGGCAAGAGATGACAGAACTCTAAGGGATGGATGACTGAACACCTTCCAAATTGTGGGATGAAACATGGTGTCAGCACAAATGTCTGTCATCAGTTGGGAGAGTTCCTCCTGGGGAATTTTCCCAAGAACTTTGTAGACTCAAAAAATAATGTATTAAAGTTATGGCTTTCCTAGTCTCTCTCTCAATTAGGACTAGTAAAATATTACTCTAGGGAACATAAATTAGTCCATAAATTCAGATTTAAAAGAAATGAGAGTAGCTGGACATAGTTGCACCTGCCTGTAATTCCAGCACTCTGGGGCATCTGAGGTAGGAGGATCATGAATTCAAGTTCAATCTGGGCAACTTAGTGAGACCTTGTCTTAAAAATAAAAAAGGCTCAGGATGTAACTCAGTGCAAAGAACCTGTGTTGGATCCCTAGTTCAAAACAATTAAAAATAAAAGGAAGAAAGAAATGAGAACAAGAAAAAAAGAAAGTGAGGTTGTCATCTTGCAACACCACATATCCAACTTCCTTTTCTCATTACTCTCTTTAATAGTTTTATCATGGCCTCAGTGCTATTTGAAAGTTGCATTTAATCATACAAGAGATTTTTTTGATGATGTAAGCATTTAGCCTCTCTTTCACTTCCTTCCTGCTTTCTATTCTTTGCCTAAATCATTCCTTTTCATCTGTGCTAGACTCTACGCCCAGATTGAAAGGGGTTAAAATGTCTATCTGGGGAGATTCAGCAGGGCTGAAAGGAGGAGGAGTCATGATGGACCTACTGAGAGAAAAATTAACTAAAAATACAGGTCATTGAAAGATAGTGAGGAACATACATCATAATGCCAAACCAGTCTAAAATAAACATTGGCATGGAACTTCATAAAACAGCACATCAGCCCACAGGGCAACCAGTGGCATGAGCGGCACCTAGCAAGAATCACTAAAAGTGTGCAGCTAGCTCAAGCCACACAGATTCAGGAAAGAAGGTCTCATTTCTTTAGCCCTCTCTCCATACAAAGGACACTGCAACCTGGCAGTGGATTTCAGATTTAACTGTCTTTGGCAAACACAGAGCTGACTAGAACTCTGCTCCCTCCTCAGAGGAAGGGCTACCAGCACTCCCTCTCTTTTCTTTTTCTTTCTCTACTGTGGACCAAAGTTGGGACCCAAGTGGAACCAATAGTACATGGGACTGAGACCAGCACTGGGCTGTCCCTGCCTGAGGGCAGCACAGCAACCCACAGTAAGGAGGCTTAGGGGGGCCAGAGAGAGATATCCAAAAAGCTGCTGATTGAAGACTGGCCCCAACTTCCACAACATCAAACTCATACCCAGATGTGGTGGGGATATATAGCACAGTTCTTGGACACTACTTGTCTTGGACACTACCACAGAACTGTGGACTAAAGAGAAATTTAATTTTTATTTTTATTATTTTTTTTGTTGGTTTTGTTTCCTCAATCTGTGTTTTTTTTTTTTTTTAGGTTTTTACCTTTACGTTTATCTTTTGCTTTACCCTTCACACTTTCTCTCCTGCCCTCTTCTTCAGTTACTCAAACCTTGGGTGATCATCTATTGTCCTCCAGTCTTGCCTCTATTACATTTTCCTTCATTTATCTCTGTTTTGGCCCCTATCTATCTTAAATCTCCCCAGAGGGTAAAATCACCCCATGAAGGGGAAACTCATCGCATACAAGCTCCTGGTTTATGTTGGATTGTGTTATATAACTGTAGATCTTGCTCCTATGTTTAAAGGTACCAAATTGATAATTACTACAATTTGTCAGTTTCTAGGCTGTGCTTGATGATATTAATATTCCTAATTGTACTACTTTAGCCAGGATGTCCTACCTGTTGTAATTAGTTGTTCTTCATTGTATGACAACACTGAGATTGTCTGACATAACCATCACCATAGTCCAGTACCAAAGGTCTGGGTGCTGAGCCAAATAGCTGTAAACTTCTGATCCTGAATAAATTGGGAAGGTATGATTTTGGGACAGACACGAAGACCAAGAACTACATACACCTAGAAGACATCTCTGAGAAATAGGCATTTCCTAAGGAAGCCTTGATACTAGTGTTAAAGCTATCTGCCATAAGAAATTTACAAGCATCAACACAGAAAATAAAATAAAATTAAACAATAGAAAATGAAAAGATACATAAGCAACATATAATCCCAGACCTCCAGCCCACCTAGGACAAGTCCAGGAGATAACAAGATAAAGGAAATCAGAAGTCACTCACCTAAATTTTCCGAGATGATAGAAGCAGAAGAAAACAGATGCATGAGATTATAGAGAAAATGATCTCTCAGATAAAAACAGAAATGATAATCAAAATGAAAGAAATGCTCAATGTATCTAGCATAAACACAGATTAAAAAATAGAGAAGCTTAGAAAAATGATAGACCATGAATGCCCAACATAGGAAAGAATTAGATTTCATGAAACAGATTTAAACAGATATTCAGAAGATTAAAAATTCTACTGAAAGTATATACAATAGATTGAACAAAAGTGAGGACAGAATTTCTGAACCCAGAAATTTCTGAAGAAAGGATTGCAGTTAACGACCATGAAAAGAAAGATATTTTAAAAATGGCATGAGACCATGAAAAATCAATCCAACATTGCAAGGTGATACAAAGAAGAACAATATAAGATTTATTGGGGTCAATGAGAGAGTTGGAGATAGTGCAAATGCCATACAAAGCCTGCACAAAGAAGTAATGGCAGAAAACTTTCCAGACATAGAAAAATAAGTAGACGCACAAATAAGTGAGGGATATAAAACTCCAATGAGCCATAATCAAAATAAATCTATACCAATGCATATAATTATTAAGAACCCAGAAATTCAGCACAAGAACAGACTATTAAAAGCTGTTATAGGGCCAGGGATTTAGCTCAGTGTTTCTGGCCCCTGCCTCACAAGTGCAAGGTCCTGAGTTTGATCGCTGATATAAAACAAAACAAAACAAAAAAAGCTGTTACAAAAAAGAAACCAACTACCTATAAATGAAAGCCCATCTGAATCATAGCAGACTTTTCAACAACAAAAAAAAAACTTAGTCAAGAAGAGCTTGGCATGAAGTATTTCAGGTTCTGAAAGTAAACAACCTCCAACCAAGATTGATGTACTCTGCAAAACTATCTTTCAAATTTAATGAAGACAGAAGATACTTCCATGACAAAGAACTGAAGAAATTCATGACCACTAAACCAGCTCTACAAAATGCCTGAAAGATATTTTAGAAAGAGATAATGAAGACCACAACTCCAAGAATACCAATAGAAAGAAGCCACCAGTCAGGGAAAGCAATTAAACAAAGGGGAAAGATTGGGAACCAAAAGCAGGAAAATAACAGGAGAAGGATAAGCCAATATATTTCAAAAGAAACTGACTGGCAGAATGGATATAAAAACAAGATCCAACAATTTGCTGCATACAGGAAACACATTTAACTCAAAAAGAAATGTGTAGACCATAAATAAAAGGATAGAAAACAATACCCCATGTGACAAGAAGCTGATAAAAAGCAGAGGTAGCTATACTATTAGCATACAAAATAGATTTCAAGCCAAGACTAATTAAAAGACACAAAGAAAGTCACTACATCTTTGTAAATGGAAGAATGCAAGAGGAAGAGTAAACAATCACAAATATATATGCACCAAATACCAGTGCATCCAAGTATGTAAAACAAATATTAATGGACATGAAAATTCAAATAAGCACTAATACAATTGTAATGGGGAAGCTCAATATTCCACTGACTCAGCCAGGCATGGTGGTGCACGCCTGTAATCACAGCACTCGGGAGGCTGAGGCAGGAGGATCACTGTGAGTTCGAGACCAGCCTGGGCTACATAGTGAGTTCCAGGGCAGTCTCAACTACATAGTGAGACCCTGTCTCAAAAAAACAAAACAAAACAAAAATTCCACTGTCTCAAATAGATCAACTAGACAAAAAAAAAAATCAACAAAAGTATCAGAACTGAACCAAACCTGTGAACAAATGGACATAGTGGATGTCTACAGAGTGTTGCACCCCATATCCGAATACACATTCTTCTCAGCTGCACATGGGACATTCTCCAAAATAGACCACATACTAGCCCATAGAACATGCTCAAGTAAATGCAAAAGAATTTAAATTATCCCAGACATATTATCTGACCATAGTGCAATGAAATTTGAAATCAACAGCAAAATAAACTACAAAAACTGCATAAAAACATGGAAATTAAATAAAAGACTTTCCTGAATAACCAATGGATCATAGACAAAACTAAAAGAAGAAATTAAACAGTATATACAAATAAATGACAATGTCGATACAACATACTGGGAGCTATAGGATTCAATGAAAGCAGTTCTTAAGAGGAAAATTTATAGCAGTAAATATTCACATCAGGAAAACAGAATGAGATCAAATAAACAACCTATTGTTAAATCTCAAATGTCTAGAAAAAGAATAAGTCAAGTCAAAAGCTTGTACAAGGGAGGAAATTAAAAGTACAGAGAAGAAATGAATACAATTGAGACTAAAACCAAGGATCAATGAATCGAAGAGCTGGTTCTTTGAAAAATTAAATAAAATTGGTAAACCCTTAACAACCTTATAAATAAAAGGAAAGAAAAGACTCAAATTCATGCAATTAGCAATAAAAATGGTAAAATCACAATGGATCCTGTAGAAATCCGGAAGATCATTCACACCTACTTCAAGAGCCTGTAGTCTAATAAGATGGAAAACACAGAAGAAATGGACAGATTCCTAGATACATATGATTACCAAAGCTGAATCAAGAAGATATAAAAATCCTCAATAGCCCAATTGAAACTGTAATTAAAATCTTACCAACAAAGAAAAATCCCAGGTCCAAATGGTTTCACTGCTGAATTCTACAAGAAATTTAGAGAATATCTAATGCCGCTACTTTTCAAACTCTTCAGTGAAATTGAAAGAGAAGCAACTTGTTCACAAAATCATTTTCAACCTACAGTAGGTCCAATATATACAATCTGAATGATAAAAAGTCTTCTTCATAAATCAGAGGTTTTATGTTCCTCTAAGGTAAACAGTTTAAAATCCCATCACGATTTTATGAAGATAACACATCTTTTATGACTACTACATATCTTAGAGAGATCTGCTATTCAAAGTCCATTTAGCAATCAATGTCTGTAATAGACATTTTATAAAACACTGACATAGGACACAGGACACTGACACAGATCTCCTTTATACTTTTGGTGTGTGTGTGTGTGTGTGTGTGTGTGTGTGTGTGTGTGTGTGTAGTAATGGGGTTTGAACCTAGGGCTAAAAGAAGGCTAAGCAGAAGCTCTACTGCTGACCTATACCTCCAGCCAGTTCTTAAAATGTTATTTCAAATGTGGAAATCAATATGGAGATACCTCAAAGAACTAGGATTAGAGGTTTCATTTGACCCAGCTGTCCCTCTGCCAGGTATCTTTCCAAAAGAATTGAAAGAATCATACCACAGTGGTATATGTGCACTCATGTTTATAGCAGCACAGTTTGTAATAGCTAAAACTTGGAGGCAACCCAAATGTTCATCAACTGGAGACTGGATAAAAAAGATGTGATTTTTCTATAAAATGGAGTATTACTCAGCCATAAAGAATGAAAAACTGGAGACATTTATAGCCAAATGCATGCACATTAAGGCTATATTCTTAAGTGAAATAAATAGGACACACAAGTAAATACTGAATAGTTTCTCTATGTGAAAAACTAAAATTGTAAATAAGGTTCAAATGGCATAATCAATACTGTGAAATAGGAAGAAAATGGCTAAAGGGGAAGTGGGAAGGATGATGGAAAGGAAATAAGGGAAAAGAAAAAGTGTGAAAAAAGGAAAAAAACTGAAGCAAAGTCTTTGTAAATAGGGAAGGGTGAAGCGGGTGAAGGGAGGGCAAGAGTATGGGGAAAAAATAAGAACCAAGACATAGCATATAAAGGTGCAAGATCCCAATGATAAATGTAAATGTATTGTTTGCTTTAAATGTACCAATAAACTTAATGGGAAAAATTTTATTTCAAGACAGGGTCTCAGCAAGTTACCCAAGCTGGCCTCAAACTTATGATCCTCCCTGCCTCAGCCTTCTGACTAGCTGGAGTTATGTGCCACTGTGCCCTGAAATAAGCCTCCTCTAAGAATAGTCATTACAAATTTTTAGATGTAAATACAATCCTTATCTTGAGTTTTTCAGACTTCACCTTAAAGTATTAGCAGTTGTAAAAATACTCTTAAAGTCTATAACCCTCTCCGAAGAGTACAGCTGTTTCCATCAAATTGGAGGCATTTCATTCATTTACTTAGCACCAATATGGTGCCTATCACTGGTTTAGGTACTGAATAGCAAGTATCAGAAAAATTGTGGTACTACCCTCCTCAAGTGTTACACTCTGTAATGGCACTATGCAAATGTCATAGGGTTAAAAAAATACAAAAGCTTATGAGTATTCTCAGCCTCTTTTTATCTTCAGCCAAGAAGAGAGAATTCAGACATCTACATTTTTATATTCCTATCCCTAGTACTCTGAGATTTTGGCAATGGAAGATATGGGAATAATTCTTTTTGGTTGCTAAGAGGTAGAAATAAAACATGGAACTGGTCAAAGGCAGCTAGAAAATAGGAAAATTAGAGAAAGAAGGTATTGTGTCCAAATATAAAATCATTTTTAAGAATACATTTCTATCATTTAATCTCTTCAGGAATTTCTGTGAACCTTTCTGAACACCTGTGATAGGGCTCACCAAATACCATTTTATTTTCTTCCTGGGAATATAGAAAAACCATATTTCCCAGCCTCCCTTGAAGTTCAATTGCCATCATGTGACTAGTTCCGGCCTATGGACTGGAAGAGTGAGCAATGTGTGACACTTTCAAGGTGAAGCATAAAAGAGAAGATATGTATTATAGTTCAGATGTTGAAAGCCTTCCAAAGACCCAAGTGTTAAAAATTTGGTTCCTGGGGTGGCTCTTTTGGGAAATGTTGGATCTCTTGAGAGGTAAAGACTAATGTGACATCCTTAGGTAATTTGCAGGTGTGCAGTCAAAAGGGATTATGGAACCCTCATCTCTCAGTCTTTATCTGTTCCCTGGCTCTTGATGCAAGCAATTTGCTCACCATGTGCTTTTCCCATGGTCTGCCATCCTTGCTAGAGATACAAAGTGATAGAGCTGACTGATCTCAGGCTGGAACCTTTGGAACCATGAGCTAAATGACACGAACCTTTTCTTTTTATAAGTTAATTGCTTTGGTTATTTTGTTACAGTGATACACAGCTGACTGATAAGATGCTGAATGTTTTTAAAGACTGAGTACCCAGACTGCAATCCAAAACTCATTTATCCGCAAAGTTCCAATGCTGCAACTAAACCTGAAAAATGAGGTTTTACTTTAGAAAAAAGCAACTGTTATGCAATGTGCGGCTGCTGGGGTGACTTGGCTCACATGCTGACAGACAGGGCTCTGTGTGCCTACTGTGGCATTCATGCCATAGGTTCACCACCACTGGCTGTAGTTTTTTTCATTTTTCTCTCTCTTCCATTTTTGCAGAAACCTAGGAGCATGTGTTTTGGCTGTTGATGTACAAAACAGTGTAGCCATCTGGGACCCTCAGTACAGAGATCTGCACCTCCCCTGCAGTGTGAGAGAAAAAGCTAGGCAAGACAGAAAGATTTTAAACAGCATATTTTAGCCTAATTAGCCATTTCACTGTGGTCAAGAGATGCAAGTAAAAATTTGGGTTATACTGAAATTATATGTTGGCTGTTGAATTCTGTTTCTTTATACATCATTACTCTGAGACTGAACACTATGGTTCTAGCCTTATAAGTGTGAACAAAAGAAAATACAAATGATAAAATAGGGGTGTGGACAAGTGCTCAGAAAGCATGGAGGGAAAAAGGAGACCAAGCCTGGAAAGGCTAATTGGATGTCTGCACTCCTATAAGAGCAAGAATTGTTTAGGTGCTTTTTACAGATCCTCCTCCTCTACTACCAGTCCAACACACACATACACACAGATACACATACATATAGACAAAGCAAAAACACTTTGTCACTTGGTCAGAAGGAGAAAGAAGAGAATACTGGTGATTTCCCACTGCATAATTTACTTGGACAAGCAGCAATAGGCCAGTTAACATGGTTATAATTTCCCAGAATAAAAGCAATTAAATACTAAAGATTGCCTGAACTCAATACTGAACAGAAAGAAATCAGGTAACACCATGAGATACAAGTGGATTCATAGGGAATCAAACTTAACAGCAGAACTTCCCCCTACCTGAGCTGCAGAGCTAGGGGTGCAGGCATAATCTTTGCTCTTATCCTTCCAATGAGGGTCGGGTATACACCCACCAGCTCCACCACTGTGATATGTCGAAGATCCAGGCCACACTGTGCTTGCTGGAGGAGAGAACCAATAGGAGAAACGTAAGTATAGCTAAAGGAAGAGACTTCCATGTCAAGCTATAGACTGACAGAAGCAGCAATAATCTGTTTGTGGAAGGTTCTTTGCCCATTCTAAACCATCCCCAAAACAACTGAGAAATTGAGGTTAAATGAGTGGCTATAAAACATAAATACCCCTTGGGCTGGGGATTTAGCTCAGTGGTTCTGCCACCTGCTTTGCAAGCACAAGGTCCCGACTTCTATCCCCAGTACAAAAAAGGGGGGTACATAAATATCTCCTTAAAGGAATCATTCAGAAATAGCTTAGCAACAGAATTTTGAAACCCTAAGCGAAATGGCAGCTGATGGTATTTCCAGAGTGAGACTTTGCATGAGTCAAATTTCCTAAAAAGTGTCCAAGACCACCCTGGAAGATTCTAACCTTGTATTTGCAAGGAAAGAAGACTATTTCCAGAGTCTCCTTCTCTGCCTTTGTGTCCATCCTCTACATCTTTCTGCCCAATGCTCCCACACCGACACCAGGAGAAAACAAGGATAAAAGTTCCAGCCCTTGAAGCTCGCTGTTGGTAAGAGTCTCAAGAATGTAGCCGAGGCCAGGGATTTAGCTCAGAGGTTCCATGGCCTGCCTTGCAAGCGCAAGGACCTGAGTTCAATCCCCAGTACCAAAAAAAACAAAAACAAAAACAAAAAACATAGCCAAACCATCCACGTGGCAGTGGCCAGAAGGGACAATAATTAGCCATTAGATGAATCCAGCTGAGGAAAAATAAATCATAAAGTCTTAAATTATTGAAATGCTACATGATTTTTACCACAATTCCACTGAAACATCCCTATATCGAGTGACCAAATTGGTAGAAAAGTTAGAAAGGGTAAAAATGTACTTCTCTATTATTCTAACTGAAATGACTAAGTCTATCAAACCTTTCTGGAAGACTCTTATTAAATACAAATACTGAGAGAAGGTCACATATAAAAACATCTTGATCCAAAACACCATATCTAATTACTTAGTAACTCAGCAAGTACATGAAGGAAAAGGGATAAAGTAAGACAGAGCATAGCAAATATTTTCTGCAAAAACCCAGAGTGTAAATATTCTGGGTTTCCACAGGCTGGATGGCCTCTATCCCAAGAACCAAAACCTGCTATTACAGTGCAAAAGCAGCCATAAATGACTCAAAAATGAATGAATGTGTATTGTGTCCAATAAAGTTTAACTTAGAAAACCCAGCTATGGGCAAAATTTAGCCCATGGGTCTTAGTTTGCTGATTAAAAAAAAAAAAGGTGTTTGTCTTATTCATTTTTCTGTGAAACAAGAAGAGTTCAGGGAATGTACTGTCCAAGGAATAGGCTGCACTGCCAATTTCCCACAAACTTAAGAGGAGTGGGCTTGTGTTTTCTGAAGAGAAAGCCCCTAACTGAGGAGAAGGTGAGTGAAGGAGAGGTCAGGAGGCAGGGGTTGGGGGTCCAGATTAATAACTTTGGTTCCTATCAAGGGAGCTCAAAAACTTGTGTGTGACTCTTTCGAGTCCATGGGCAGCCTGTCTAGTTCATGGAATAGTGAAGAAAGACTTATTATTCATTGTGTTAATGCTCACACGAGTAGTAAATTGTAGTCTTTGATTAAACCGAGATTTTTCTAAACACAGATTTAGTCACAGTAACAAATGAATGATTCTCAAAGAAAATGTACAGCACCATTGAGTCCATAACACACCACACATCCTGCCTCTTTAGTTTTCTGTCAGGTTGGCCACTCTGCTTGCAGACAGCTTCAGTCCAAAAATCAAGCAAATTCTGGTCTGATCCTTACAGTCTTGGACCCAGCAAATCCCGGGCCCAGAATGCTGGTTGCTTCATTTAGCAGTTACAAAATTTAAACAGTGCAGAAGGGCACATTTCCTGGAAAAGTATTCCCCAAACTTTAAAATATTTAGAAATCACCTGGGTATTTCGTTAAAATGTAAATTCTGATACAGAAAGTCTGGGGTAGGCCTGGGAATATGCATTTCTAAGAAATGCTCAGGTGGTGCTAATACTGCTGGTCCAGAGACCGTGCTTTGAGAATCACTATCCTGAGAGATGGCTGTTACTCTCTGAGGAACACTGTGAAAGTTGGCAAAATTCCACGAGGAAGAATTCAGAGCCTAAAGCCCAAGCTTGGGCCAGCCGTTTGCACAGATAACTGATTAATCACCTCCAACCTGGGCATATCCTGTGTAGGTTCAGCAAAACCAATTGTGCCAGGACCTGGCCAATATGTCAGTTAAGCTTATTAGTGAAGAAAGACAAATCTCATTAGTTGGAAAACAATTGGGTTAGCTCTGGGGAGTCAATGTTAATCAAGTTATGCTCCAGTACCAGAAATGAATAGTTAGCTCTAAATTGTTGGTTCCTGAAACTCTAAAAGGATTAGGTGCTGAGTGTGGCCTTCACTTTCAATGAAACGCCTGGGCCTTTCCTGGTAGATGTCTCCTTCCCACCATGGCCCTACTCAAGGACTCACCTGCAGCATTCCCAGCTGTAGCCGGTAGAGGAGGTTTCGGGCTGTGGGTGTGGACACAATGAGGAGTCTCCTTTTCTCATAAAACTGGTCCAAAAGTGCAGCTGCTGACCTGACACCCACGTTGACATTCATGGCTGTAATTAGAAATGGCTACATGGGTCAGAAACCTTCTGTATGTCTGGCTCAACATAGCTTGTAATGACACACAAAGCCAGGTATATGAGAAGCAGACAATGAGGTAAGGATTTGATTGTAAATAGTTTATTTGAGAAGTGGTCCGAGAAGCACTAGTACAGGAGTGGGAAAGTGTATTAGTTTCCTCTTGCTGCTATAACAAATCCCCTTAAATTTAGTGGCTTAATACAACACAAATTGATTCTCTTCAGTCCTGGAGGTCAGAAATCCAAAATAAATTTCACTAGGCTAAAAATCAAGGTGTCGCCATGCTGTGTTCTGGGAGAGAATCTGTTTCCTTGTCTTTCAGCATCTAAAAGCCACTTTCATTCTTTAATTCACAAGTCCTTTTTCCATTTTCAGAGACAGCCATGTAACATTTCGCTGCTTTCTCCATCATCTCTATCTGAATCTGTTGGTAGTTCTGCTACCTTATGTAAGGACCCTTGTGATTATTTTGGATTCAATGTATACTCTACAATACCTGCCCATCCTAAAATCCTTAACTTCATCATATCTGCAAAGTTCACGGAAGACAATATGTCCACAGATTTAGGCAATTAAGATATGGGCATCTTTGGAGCCCCGTTATTTTGCCTACCTCTGGAAATGAGAAAAGGAAGGAAGGGAAGTAAGCAATATGGAGTGCATTATCAACCAAGTCATTGCTGTGGGCATCTGGGAGCCAGTTCCACTAGGTTACTTTGGGAGACAGCATACCATATACTTCAGAGTTATCTCATTAGAGGAATGAAAGAACTGGAGTGCTTACATACCAACTGCTGCATCACCAGCTGATGACTCTTTAAGGGCGCACTAATTCTCTGTCACTCCCAGCTGGTACTATGCATGGGCCCATAATGCCCCTATGTCAGAACCCACGCAGAGTGACCCAGGTGCTTGCACTAAGTCTTTTTTTTTTTTTTTTTTTTTTTTTTTTTTAGCCGGAGATCAGACTCAGGACTTTGTGCTTGTGAGGCAGGTGTAGTGCCACTGAGCTAAATTCCCAGCCCCACACTAATAGTCTTTTGAACATAGCTAAGAATATCAAAGCCATATGGCCCAACCACCATAGTACAGTGTCTGCCTGGGAAGGAATATAAGAAAGCACAGGGGTGAGAGAATAAGCAGTGGACAAACTGGCTCTGGAGTGGCTCAGAATCTCCAAAGTGGACCTCCTTGGTGCAGAAAGTACAGAGGAATGTGGGCACAGTGAGCCAGAGCAAGCAACATGGGCACAGAGAACACGGGGCAAGGCATTTTAAAGATAGGTAGGCAATTGGGCTGGTGATGTAGCTCAGCAGTTCTGCACCTGCCTGGCAAGCACAAGGTCCTGAGTTCAATCCCCAATACTGGGGAAAAAAAAATAGGTGGGCAATTCAAACAAGCAATCCCAATTGATTGGCTCATCAAGGTCAATGAAGGGTATATAATACTTAGGTTAGCAAACAGGCCTGAACCTGGAAAAGAAAAAAAGTAATGAAATTCTGTGTATGTTTTATAATCTTTGTGTTCCTGTTTCCTCTTTTTTTTTTTTTTTTTTTTTTTTTTTTTGGGGTTT